GACAATAAGACCAAAAAAAGTGATGACATGGAAAAAATAATAATATAAAAAAATATTATAAAAAATAAAACTTAAAAATTTTTTTTTTCTTTTTCCTTCTCTTTCCCCTTCCCCTTCCCCTTCTCTTTCCCCTTCGAACCCAGGCGCCTGGGTTCCTTAAGACCCAGCCCTAGGTTCCAAAAAAAAAAAAGAAATTTCTGTTTTCTTTGTTTGGGTTTTGTTGTTTGATGATATGAGAAATTGATTGATGAAGATGAAGAAGGCAAGGCAGCCATTGGTTTTTTGCAGGTGGATGAAGATGAGGAAGGCATAGGTGCTGGGTTCGAAATCGAACCCAGCAAGCAATCGAACCTAGCATCGAACCCAGCAGCCCCTGGGTTCCTGCAGGTGCTGGGTTCGAAGGTGCTGGGTTTGATTTCGAACCCAGTAGGCATTGGGTTCCGTTTCGAACCCAGCAACCGTTGGGTCAATGGATCTTTTGAATTCCATTTGTTTATCGATCTGTTGTCTGTTGGGTTCTGTTTCAAACTCAGGAGTCGTTGGGTCGATGGATCTGTTGAGTTCGATCTATTTATGGATTTGTTATTTATTGTGTTATCCTCATATTCTTGCAGGTGCTGGATTCGATTTCAAACCTAGCAAGCGTTGGGTTTTGTTTCCAACCCAACTACAGTTGGATCGAAGGATCTATTGATTTCTATCTGTTGGTTTGTTGTGTTATTCTCGGATTTAATATTAAGAAATGTTAGGGTTTGCAGAAGGTGAAAAGAAAGGGAGAGGAAGAAGAAAGGGAAAAAAGAAAAACAAAGAAAGAAAAAAAAAAAGAAATTTTTTAAGGTAATTTCTTGATATCTCATTGTTTTACCATGCTGTACATCCTAGGTGTCAAAATGTTTTAACATGTCACCTTTTTCTCCGTCAAGTAACAAGACACGTAGGCGGATATTTAACAGAAGGACCAAATCGGGGTTAAAATGGTAAACAGTAGAGACCAAATCAAGGATTTTTTTAGTTTAGAGACCAAATCGGAGGTACATACAATAGTTCAGGGATCAAAATAGAGTTTTTACCAAAGTTTTTAAGTATTATGAATTAAGATTTATTTAGATATATGCAAATCTTATATAAATTATTAATTTTTATTAATTTTTAAATTTAATAGTTAAAATGATGATGATATATTTACAGATATATTTCAAGTTGTTAAACAAAGACAATTGCTTTTTTCAAAATAAAAAATAAAAACAGGGTGTCTAGAGGTTTCTACAATCCCGCTGGCTAGAGATGAGCCAAAGGGATCGCTCCGGTGGTCGACTAGGGCAGCCATAAAATGGCCATTGTTGCAAGTACATCTCTTGATATAATTTTCGATTGCTTTCGATCTTGTGCTCCACATCGCCATGACGATATGACGTAACTCAAATGAAAAGCTGTTTCGAGCAAAGTAGTCAAATACCCGAAATTTGACCAAAAAATGTGAAGCAAACAACTAGAGAGTAGCGGAGAGAGGTATGAATCAAGATTTAAGATTAGGGCTTGCGAAACAAAAAATGGAGAGAGAGAGCAGCGGTAGCAAAGCATCCACCGGCGAAGATGTGTGAGGAAGGAGGACTGCAAATTTGCCCCTAGCCAAAATGATGTCGTTTTGATTGAATTCTCTCTTCCTTTTTTTTTTAATTTGAACATAATGTGTACGGTTAAATTTTGGTATCACTACACAAAATATCAACCAATACACTGAAATTTGACAAAAATATTCAAAATTTGATTGAAATAAAATTTAAACTTATACCACTTCGGATTACTTAAAAAATCGATATAGAACAACCGTACCGATTAGTCCAAAATGGTATTGACCTCCTTGGGCCCAATACCCGACATGTTTGGCCATGCCCTTTAATTTTGCAAACTACCCTTTAATAAATATTTTTAAAAATCAACTATTAAATTAATATTTTATTTATATAAATTTTACATTTCAATTTTAGATTAATTAAATATATTTAGTTGTAACTAATTCATTATTTATACAAAATTTAATACCATTAAAAATGTAAATTTCTTAATCAAATAATTATAAATATTAAATTAATTTAAAATTTGACATGTAAGATTTTTATTAATAAAATATTAAATCTAACCGTTAATTTTTTTAAAATTTATTAGAGGAACTAGGCATTGCTTCCAATAAAAATAGTACTCAATGAGAGGTAAATAAAGTTAGGTTAAACTCTCATTTTTGGTCCTTTAACTATTGTATAGATCCTCAATTGAGTCCCTTAACTCAGAAAATTCCTAATTTAGTCTCTACCGTTTGGTATTTTGGCTCCAACTTGGTCCTTCCATTAAATTGTTGTTGACATGGCATGTTAGCTAACGACAGAAGCATGTCTTTTCAATAAATAAAATATATGAAATTTACAACATGGCAAAATACAGGACTTGACAAAAAAATATTTATATATCTAAATAATCCCTAAACATAATAAAATGAACATATTACTCTTATCTTCAACCTCTAAATTCTTTCATTTTCTCTCCCCCTTCCCCAACACTAGATTTGGGTTTGGTGAACCCAAAAAAATCTAAACGGCAGAAATTCCCCTTTTCCCTTTCTCTTTCCTCTTCCTTTCCTTTGCCTTCTACAAACCCTTATACTTTTCTCAGCTACCTAAGATCCCCAATGCGGAGCAAGGAAGCAGAGCCAAGAACTTCAAAACCAACATCGTTGAGAACTTTAACACTAGCACCATTGACAACTATGACACAAGCACCACTCTAACACCAATGCCAGACCTTGAACTTGTATTCGAGTCCTTGATCTCCAATGCCAATCTCTTGATAGTCTCTATTGAACACCAGTGGTGAACAAAGAAAGAGAATAAAGGAGTGCTAGAGATTAAAAGGGAAAGGGAATGAGGAACGAAAGGGAGGAAGAAGCCACTCATTGCTATTGTAGCCACTGGCATTGATGATAAGACTTTAGGTAGTACTTCTTTGACTTCATTTTTGCCATCTTAGAGGAAGAAGAATAGGGTTCAAGTCTCCAATAACAAGAAGCCCTTTGTTTTCTCAATATTGGCAAGGTATATTATGAAAGGGTACTCTAATTTGGGGATTCTTAGGTCAGGCATGATTGTTTCTTTTGATACCTAAATCAATGAATTAACTAGGGTTTTTGCAATTTTCTTGGGTTTTCTTCTTTAATCTTTGTTTAATCTTCTTTAAAGTTGGAGAATCATCATATCTTTGAGTATGTGTTTCACTTTTCGAATCTAATTAGTTCCTAAGTAAAAGAGAAATTAGAAGGTAAAATGTTCCTTTGATTGGTCCGGATTTGGTGTTGAGGGAGGTATAGAGAGAGAAAGAAAATGAAAGGATCTAAAAAAAAATATGTGAAATTGCAAGTTTCAATGGAGGCAATTGTAGGTTTTGTCTTTAGGGTCTATAGAAGGCAAGGAAAGGAAAAGGAAAGAGAAAGGGTAAAAGGAGGAAAAAGGAGAATTTTTTAAGTTTTTTTTTGCCATATCATTATTTTTTGGCATGCTTTCTTCCCACGTGTATTTAATATTTTGACATGTCATTATACTCCTATTAGTTAACGGGACACGTCATTGGATTTTTAACAAATAAGACAAAGTTGGGGCCAAAATACCAAACTGTAGGGACTAAATTAAAAATTTTTTAAATTAAGGGACTCAATTCAAAGTCTGTACAATAGTTAAAAAAACAAAATGAGCGTTTAACCTGAAGTAAACCCCAGATCTCGAAAATTTTGCAGTGGACTAAGTCACTAAACCCATTTCTTGATGGGTTTGAAATTCTTGTTTAAGCCCATCTATTCTTTCTCTTTTCTTTTGGGCCAGAGGTCCACCCCATCTTATGTAATTTCTAGTTGCAATTTCAGGAAGGAGTCGGTAAAATTCTTGATAAGAACTGTTGAAGATTGTCTTTGGCTGCTAGAACCTCAATATCAAAGGAATTCTGCACTTCCTGCCAGAACTGAATGCTCCAAGGATGAAGATGGGAGCAGAGAGCATATGCATGCTATCGTCGAGAACAGAGGATGTACATACCGACTTGGGGGACGAAATATCATCCTGAGTCTAAAATTTTAGACCGTATCCCAGAGTCTAAGTTGGTTTAGATAAGTTGATTTCAGAGAGTCCAAAATTTTAATGGTAGAATACAGTTTCTAATAGATTAAGACAAATGACTTCAAAACAGTGGGAGAATACAATTTCATGAAGGATATCATTAGTGGTGTATCAATTTCTAATCTTGAGATCATTCAAATGGGTTACAAACAAGTCATTCCAAGTATCTTTAATTCCTGGTAGGCACCAGTGCATGCAATCGTCGTGTTTCTTTCCACCAGCAGTGGCCGGATGGGCATCTGCTCTGAACTCATGCAAGCGATGTCTAAAACATGGAAATTAGACTCCTCAAGGGCCTTGTATAGGTGTTGATTCACCATGCGTGCGTCCACATTTGTCCCGTATTATTTAATGAGAAGAGTTCTTCAACCTGAAAGACAATTTTGAAGAGCTGAACATGTTAACCTCAATCAGAGCAAAAGAGAAACAATAGACAAGCATGAATATTACATAAAAAATGATAATGCTGTGGCGTATGACAGGATGCAAGAAGCAATAATAAATTAATAATCAGCAAAGAAAACTCACTTGCTCTGGCAACATAGGTTGTAACTGTTGGCAAGAACCACCTTGGTTCCAGTCACCTCCTTCAAAATGCCTTGGTGATTGCGTGCGAAAAAATTTAATTGTCCCTGATCTTGAGCCTCTATCCACAACCAGTATCTTCCATAGAAAATAAAATAGCAAATGAGAAAGACACTCACAAATGGTAAAATTAAAGCCAGAAATCAAGTTAATTCCAAATATTATAGACAATCCATTCAACCTGAACATATACTGCAAGGTTATAGGTCAATTGTTTATTTTCTGTTCTCTATATGTACATGTTCAGAGAAACTCATTAGCACCTAATACAGAGTTTCACAAAACTTTCGGTCTTTACCATGTTTTAAACCTTATCATCTGATACCTTACAAAATTAATAAAAGGAAAAGCAGCATTTTTTGGTGAAGATGAAAAAATATAATCATACCATGTTCTTCAAAGCCTTCACCAGACCAACATCAGGAGGATAGGAGGGATCACCAGGAGATTATTGTCAAAGAAAAGCATGGGGGACTTCACAGGATCAAATTTTGAAGGAGCAAACCACCTATTAAAGCAGAAAAAATTTTACTAAGAAAACCTAAATTGGCAATGGAAAAAAGACCATCCTAGTTACCAAAAGGCTATACAATATCACAGCATAAAATTGAAAAGAAAAAAAAAAAAAGGCAACTGTGACTGGTGGAAAATATATTTATCACACACATCAACATAGAACCATCAGGCAGCTAGAAGCAAAATACTTCCAAGAGGCACAAGAAACTTCTCAAATCACTTCCACAGTTCCAAATGTAACATGCCATACAATTCCAAAGGAGAAATGCTCCGTAGACCATCCAGTAGGACCTACAGGCTTCAACTGACCAAGCAGTAACATGCATACATCACATGGCATTTGGTACCATTGAACAGCAATAAAAATAAAGCAGGTCAATATCCATGGAGATCATTAACAGAAAACAACATATTAAAACAGATGACACGACTACCAGTGTCCCGTGTTGAAGATTAGAATATCATGGAAGCTTGGAGCTTTTGCTCATGTGCCCTCTGGAACATCAACATCAACTCTATAACCCTCTTTGAATCCAAGAGTGAAACACCCCTGTCCTAAAGTGTAAGATTTTATAAGTTTTTATCCTTAAATATTAATTTCATTGAGTTAAGGAGGTTAGGCAGAAAATCAGAATCTGGTTTGCTCGGTTGCATGGTAATTTCAAGCAACTTTACCAGAATTGACTGGCTGGCTTTTGGCAAGTGCTGCTGAAAGATAATAATATATATATATATATATATCAAAAAGAGGACCTAAGTCAGTGGAACTCATTAAAACTTCACTAACTTTGTCTAGAAGTATATATATGGTTCAAAATAGGACTTAATTTTATTTCTTGAATCCTAAATTTGCTGGTACCAGACGGAGGAAAAACAGGGAAAGAAGGAGGTTCTGCAACCCAGAAGCAGCAGCAAGTATAAGAAGGCTTTGGGAGGAGTTTTTATTAACTTAAGGCTGCAGGAAGGTAAGTTTTAGTAATTGTTTAACTTCGACTTAAGAGTTGGAATTAAAATTTATAGTTTGATGGCAGCCTTTGCATCACACAGCAAGTACAGTTTAAAATGCAGATTTATAGACATGCAATGCTGTTGTATGTATAAAAGAAAGGAATTTCCTCTGTTGATTGTTTCTTCTTGTCTGCACTTTCTGAAGTTTATTGCAAGTTGATTTTCTAGTTGAAAGTCTGCACTGTTTGGCTCTTTAATCTTACTTGTACAAGGGATGAACATTCAACAAGTATGAAATGCATATGCACTACACGAAATGAGAATGCATCATTTTACATGCTGCATAGAATCTATGGTAAAATACCTAAGCAATTGGCTAGGTAAGATACTCCTAAAGTTACCAGGAGTAAAAGAATGATGATGCTCCTAACGTAATTGGAGTAAAGAAAGAAGATATCTAAAATGATACCTGAGCTACTAAGGTAGGTAAGAACTCCTAAAGAACCTGGAATAATGAAAGGAAGGTATCTAGATCCACTGTGCAGTAGGAAGAACCATGGCTAGTCCACTGGTATGTGGGAGGTACACCCACAAGGAAAAATCCATAGATAAGAACACACATTCATATGAATGTTTTGATAAGCATAGAATTATCTTGTTGCTTTGTTTTTCTTATAAATCTTAAGTGATGATTTTCATGGAGGGAAATCTCCTATTTAACTGTTCAGTGCTAGTGAACAGAACTTGATGGAATTGGCTCTGCTTGAGTAGGGCAGATTATGTTTCAACTTAGCACCAAAAATTGGTTTGATTACTTTTTAAGTTGTGAAAGTTAACTTAAATATTTTACTAGACTTACTGGGCTTTACAGCTTATGGAATTATTATTTCCCTGTGGTTACAGGTAGAAATCAACTACAGGCAGCATACACACTTCGGGAGCCTAGGAAGCATCTGTAAATCCAAGTGCAGGCCTAGAGCCAACCTTGGTAAGACAAATTTGAACTCTGCCCAAAACCTAGACTTGGCTCACTGTTTTGCTCTAAAAAGCTATGTACTATATGTGAAGAAACATCAAGTGCTGCTGTAAATGAAACGATGGTTTTTTTTTGTACTGTGCAGTTTGTACATAAAACTATATTAGCATGTAAATGATGGAAGGACTGGACTCTTTCCTTTTGTTTGTCATAATCTAACTGTCCAAGTCCTATGTG